CTGCGTAAGAGAGGAGGAGGTATTACGTAAAACTTTTGTATCTTGTGTTTTAAATGTTTGAGACGTCGACGGGTTTAATGGGTGGGCCATGTGAGACCCGCGGGAAACGGCGCAGGTAGATTTGTGTGAGAGGCCCCAAGCGTACAATATTCTATATTTCTTCGTATAGGATTTTATACATTATGGCTGGAGCGTGTCTAAAATTCTTTACCGGCCAAAAGAGAAATGTTTCAAGAGAAGAAGACAACTCTAAGAAAAAGGGGGAAGGAAAATGAAAAGAAAGTAACAACGAGGAAACGGGAAATAAAAACGAACGGCCAAAGTAATAATATTCAAATGAGTGTTTGTTTTCGCCCGATAAAACGTTCGATTCATCAAGGCGGCAATTATGATGTGAGTTATTGTAGCGCCTTATCCATGTGATCTGCCTTCAAATCCGCCTTCCCCGCATCTGCTGCCGCCGTCAAACCCAACTACCGCCACCCCCCACTAGAACAGCCCTTGTTCCGTTTCCGATTTCGGCGGCGGCGATATATGAAGACGTACGGCGTGCGTACTAAACAGAGACTAAATAATTAGCGGTTCGCGGTTGTAAAGTACAGACAGATAAAATGGTTTTTGCCGAACAAGTGGCATTTTGGCACGCTATATTTAGATAAACAGATATTATAAATCCCCCGAGGGGGTACATAAATCTGCCCGTGAAATAGTTAACGTTTCATGGCTAGGTGTAATCGCGCACATTATAATTACACAAACACTCATGCATGCACCACGTACACACAGAACACACGGACAGAAATGTAAAGATAAATTCGGGTTAGGGGTGGTTGTTTCCAACGCACCCTTTCACTCCTCCACTCGCTCTTACACTCTCACCCTCTCTTTCCCATTTCAACATGTAACACACGCTACTTTCATCCCTCTCTCTCATACACACTTGCACGAATCAGATGTTGATTTTAGACTCGTACCAGCATTTAACTTAATTCACCCATCAACAATGTTCTTAATTACCGAACCATTAATCAATCTATCCTCGCATAATTATTCTCCCGGCTCACGGTGATGAAAACAAACCCACCCCCCTAAATCCCTTCCGCCGTCGTCGTCGTTACCTAAATTTACTTATTTTGATATCTCGACATCTCGCTGTCTTCGTTTACGCACCTATGAATATTTCATCAAATCTTAATACGTTCATTAATCATACGAAGATTCGCAGGTACCGACTGTTTCGTTCAGCTTTCTGTTTGTATACCGCATTATATTCGAATACCTCGGCATCCTTAACGAATGATAATACTGATTACATCAAAACGTATACCATTTCAGCATTAATTAAATGTTATTTTAACGAAAATTTAATTATCTAGCAAATTGTTAATATATTCAGAAAAACATTTCATATTCCATTTATTATAATCTTTATTAGAAAACTTATTTTGTTCCCGGGAAACGAGAAATTTATATTTAATTTCCCGAGAATCCCGGGAATTGTAAATCATATAAAGTTTGCTTAATTATAATTAAATTCTAATATTGCTATTATATAGATATTTTTATAGAGATTAGAGAAAAAGAAAAAAAATTTCAGCGAATTTTGTTATTTTTTTTCATGGGAATATAAATTTTAGAAATTCCCGGGAATAACTAAATGGGAAATCCCGGAAATTACCTTCTAGCAATAGTATTGATTAAAGAAATCCAAAATATATTTATCAATGAATCATGAAAAAATGTACATAATCTTGAAAATTATTTTCTAAATTATTTGCAACTTGTCAAGTATCACGTAGTCGTATAAACTGTTTTAATGTTTGAGCAAGTGAGGATAATTGATATTATTTTCAAAGGTGCAGGACTTATGATTATGCGTATTAAATTTTGCGAGGGTTTTTGCAGAGGAGAAGAAAAAAAAAATGTATGTTGAAGTAGGAAAGCTCCTTGAAGAAGGGTGGTTGGGTTAGGTTAGAGAAGTGAGGGAGATGTTTAATTAAGGGGGTGCTAGTGTAAGTGAAAGGCTGCTGCTGCTGCCGGTGGTGCTAGTGTTTGGAGCCCAGGCGACAGGCAGACTAAGTGCCTCGTAAAGAGCAAATTGCTTAGGATATATCCGTAAGTAGCTGGCTCGCACGTCGAGATATTACTGTCATTCGTTGCCTGGTGCCTTTGCAACCGACTCCAATAATTCCTCTGCACTCCACCACCACCTTGCAGACCGCTGGTGTAAGGGTTAGTGAAATGAATCGATTCGTCCTCACACAATAAATTAAAAATAATGCCCATCGAAATTATCGGTAGAAGAATTTCTCTCTTCTGCATGGAGAAAACGCTTCTTCCGCATTACGAAATCCGTTCCGAAGATATATGCGCATTACGCATTCAAATATATTTTAAACTTCAACCTACTTTTATTAAGATACATATCGAATCAAGGAAGGTCCCAGAAATATATAAAGACGTTGCTGTAATATAATTTTGCACTTTAAATTCTGACTCGTCATTTTTTTTTCCTCCTCATATTTTTTTCTTCTGTTTTTTTCTTTTACTTAAATCTCTGCGCTGCACTCACGCTGACGAATAAAAGTCGCAAAGCTTCTTTTAAATGAATATTTCAGCAGTGGTTAAATAAGTAGTTTCAATGCTTGGAACTACAACTAACCAGATTTTCTTAGACTCTTGTCACAATCGCAGAGAACCAACGTTTCTTTAAAAATAGTATTGTAATCCAAACACTTAAAAAAATGTGTATTCTGAAGCAATGTAATTAAAATTATATAATTAGCAGATTAAACAAAACTTAACAAATAAGTAATTAAAAAAATTATTTCCATAATTAATATTTTCTTCAAAAAAAAAATCAAAAATATGAACGTATCGAAATTTTTTTTAATATAGTACTTTTTTTAATAAGTCCAGTTATATCATAAAATAATGCTCAAAGTTTTTCATTATGTTTTTAAAATGTTTTCATTATGTTATAAAAATAATTTGTATGTTTTTTGTAATTGTAATAATTGATTAATTAAAGTTGAATTCATTGAAAAAGTTCAATTAAAATACATATTTGGTATAGGTAATTGTAATATTTCTTTTGTATGGTAATTTTAATGTTTGGCGACCAACGTGGGGCTTTGAAAAAATATGAACTGAAACGTTAATAGAAATCTTGAATAAGGGTGAAAAAAAATAAATTCTAAATTAAATAAATTGTTGGTCTGTTTTCTTGTAGATTGGCACGATTAGGGTGGTAATGTCCATCCTTCATTGTTGTACTGGTACGAGCATTTATTATCCCCTTGTTCATACACTCGCCTTGCCGTGTTTTTGTTGTTGTTGTTGTTTGTTATTGTTATTTATTATTATTCGTCGGTCCATTATACGATGAATTTTGTTCTGGTCGACGGATGAAATGTCCGTGAGTTGAAGTGAGAGAGAGAGTAGGAAACAAAAAAAGAGAAGAGAGAAAGAGATGAGAGTTCGTTGCGTGGCGTGGAACACACAATGCACCGTAAATGATAAACTGCGTCCCATCTCGCGGTCCATTATATTTTTACTACAAAGTGCCTCGACCAACAATGGAATATAAATGAAAATAATTTTTACCTCATGAGCGTAAACAACGCGCCCGGAGCGAACACACAAAGCACACATCCCTACATACACACTGGTGGTAGGAAGAGAGTTAGCGCGTGTATATGAGAGAGAGTGAGTGAGAGAAAGTACGAAACCACTAAAAACAGCAATAACCCATCAACAAAAATAAATGAATTAAAGCCCCCATATAAAAATTAATGGATCGGATAATTCTTTTTTTCTATTTCGTAAATACCGGCAATAAATTTCCGAACCCGCTTAAATATAGTGTTACGTCATGGTGTGAATGAAGTTTTAAAAGAATATGTGGTCAGATAAGAGCGCGAAAATAAAATAGAAAATTTGTTGAGCAATAGATTTAGTTGGATTTTTATTTTTTCTTCACTTTTATTAAAGCAAGACTATAAACTTTATTGGTAGCTTAGTTAAGAAAATGGGTGAGGGCCCCAAATAATGTTGTTCTAGATCCATTTAACAGTGTGAAGTGTGAGGGTCCCATTAAGTGTTAGCCAAGGGCTCTCTAATAGTGTATACCAGGTTTAGCACTCCTGTATAAAAATATTGAAAGTTTCTAATTCTAATTCTAATTCTAATTAACTAACAGATGGCGTGTCATTAGCACCCATTGTTAAAAATACAGTGGAACCTCGCTTAACGTTTATAATTCGTTCCAAAATTTCCGGATTTTTACAATTTTCCCCATATAAACTAATGTAATATACGATAATGCGTTCCATTTTGATCGTTACGGAAAACGCTCTTCTTCTTCTTCCGGTAATGAGTCTCCTTCTGGAAACCCCTTCACATTTAGCTGGGTCTTGTCGACCCGTTAGCCAGTCACATATCGGTAGGATCAAAAAGTGTTGAGTGTCAGGTCGAAACCTCTGCATAACCAGTAAATCGAGGGCTAAATAATTCCCACCTCGACCCTGGAAAGCTTCGACCTGTCACAGGGTGTCTCCCCAGTGTGTATGTGGCCTAAGTTGATACATATACATTTCGCGCCGGGGTTCTGGCGACTCTAAACAGATGGAAAAAATGGATGAACCTCGTCGGTTATGTAGTTGTGTTTTGTTTTGTTAAATGGATTGCAGCGAGGTACTCATACCAATAATTGTTGAGTGAGGTTGTATGAATGATTATAGTTTGTTAAAAGGCGGCGTTAGTTGTTGGTACAAAATTGATGACTGCCTTATTAAAACTTCCATGCAGTTTTGAGATATGAGGGTTTCGACAGAAGTGGGCAACTGATGGTGTTTAGAAATGATACAAATTAGAGTCTTCGTCACTTCAGTGTTGTTAGAGCACTCAAATAGTCCCGCTCTGTATAGATGAGATGGGGATAAGGAATGCCCAGAACGTATTCTTGAGAGTGCTGAGACTTGACGTTTTTTTATAGATACCTAGTTCTGTAAACCATGGGGTGCTCTTCACTGTCCTATTGAGCAATTCAAAATAAAGCCTTCCTTTGGTCTGATTGTCCACAAGGTATTCTTCCTGCCATTCCTTCATGGATGCAGTTTTTATGTTCTCAAAGAAGTCAGTGTGTGGTACTGTCATATTGATGGTTTGACCAAGAGTATGTCCCTTCTTTGCGACCTCGTCTGCCCTCTCATTGCCTGCGATGCCCTGATGACTAGGGACCCAACACATTAATACGCGAGCCCCGTAAGGGAAACGCTCGTTATAGGAGGTGATCGTTAAGCGAGGTTTCACTGTACGTCTATTATGCTTTCAGACCTGAAATAAATGAAAAATAACAATAACAAACCATTGCGTTGAAAAGAATGTAGATAATTCAATTGCCAAAAAAAAATTATGCGGAATTAAGGTTGTAGTATGCCCTAAAAACCAGACATTTTATGAACCATCATCTCTCAACAAAATCTAAATCATAATTCAATTTTTTTTTCCGTGGGCCCCAAAAATTCTTGAAAAATGTTGTGTGTCCTAGGAACTGTGCTTAATGTGATACGCATGTAATAATTAACTTAATGAAAATTAGTTCAGTAAAATTCTAATTAGAATTATTTAGAATTCAAAGATAAACAAGATAGTGAAATTCAATATATTAAATATTTAGACTTGAAAAAAAAAGGGACTGATTAAGTTAGTTGTGAGTCGGAGGTATCAGTTAAGTAGATTCTAATTTAAATATAAATTCTAATTCAACTATTTTCCGTGGGCCCCCCAAAAGTCTTGCGGGCCCCAAAAATCTCGTGTGCCACAGATATTATGCCTAATGGATAAGCCTGAAATAACTGAAAAGATAAATAAAATAAGCACTACAAAAAAGATAGACAAGATAAGTATTAGAATAATCCAATAGACGAAATCGGTCGTAGTGAAATTCAATATATTAAATATTTAGACCTGAAATGAGGGACTCATTAAGTTAGTTGTGAGTCTGAGGTATCATTTAAGTAGATTCTAATTTAAATATAAATTCTAATTCAACTATTTTTTGTGTGTCCCAAAAGTCTTGTGGGCCCCAAAAACCTCGTGTGCTCTAGATATTATGCCTAATATATAAGCCTGAAAAGATAAATAAAATAAGCACAACAAAGAAACAATTATATAAATTATAATAAAATTATTATTTTAAAATAAGCAGAAATTATATATTTATTTAAAAACTGCTAAAATAAATAAATTAGGTGAAGTTTATGAACACAATATTTTCTTGAAATTGATATAAACTTTTAAATATTAATAAAGAAAGTAGAGTTGTTTTTGATGAGAGTAGAATTACAAAAATAATATTTTGTTAAATGAGTTTGAAGAAGGTATGAATCACGTAAAGTTAAGTCGATGAATTTTCGAAATAATTTAAGGGGATTTCATCGGAGAGTCGAGTTTTGTAAATGGGTTTGCGCTTTGTTTATTTTGCGAGGGCGAAGGAAGGAATGATAATGCAATAAGGTGTTCAGTGGGGGTGTAATAAACTACCAGTCAGAATTAATCATTGTCATTGAATTAAAAATCTGGAGGGCGCGACGCGACGCCCGGCGCGCAACATCAACATTATAAATTAACCATTCACGATATAATTTTATTAAAGCTCCGCTTCTGCCGCCCATCCACCTACGCCAACCCCTCTCTCATCCTCATGCACCCTCTGTGCAGAAAATTGAGCAATCGTTTCCAATTTTCGGCTACACATGATGATATAGTGTCGATCCAGTTGGAGAATTTATGAAATTCGCGTATATTAATTTTGCGGATACAACAATAAAACAATAACAACGAAAAAAGAAAACGGTAATACGTTGTAATTATAGTTGGTCTCTTGTTATTCTCGGCGTCGGAAAAATCCATTACTTAGAACCTCTCCGGCGGCTTAAATCCCTTAACTGATCTTTTCCCAAGTGACGGACAATTAGTTTTCCCGCAGCCATTATAAATGCACCCTGCATTGTGTGTACTCCACTCCGTTACCATCTCCTACTCTCTCACTCTCTGCACAAACACTTTTAGTTGGCGCGTGTATATCATTTTAAAGCCCCCCCTTTAATTTATTTATTATCTTACCGAGGATTTGCTTTCTTTCTACTCTCAACCCTCTTCTACCACCGATTTTTTTTATCTCCATTTAGGTTAGACCCGCTTTGCGGTCTTAAGCGTGTAATTAAAAAGTATCCAATCGATAACGACGCAGGCTAAAGAGGTTTTTAGTGATTTTTTTAGCAAATTTCATTTTTAATTATAATAAACGAAAATATCTCATATAATAATACTTAATAAAATATCTAGTATAGAAAATTAAAATCCGCAGTAAATTATGTACATTTGTATTAAAAACTAAACAAAGTACCTTTTAAGTATTATATAAATTTCTAAAACAAAATATTTGTTGATTTAATTGATTTATGTTCAAAGGTGATATATAAAATAGCCTGTAAATATTTCGGTATTTTCACAAGGATAAGACGTATTTTTTATGCTTTTTAAGCTCATAAACTAAGGTGCGTCTTATACATTTAACTGTATTATACTTGAAGATGTACGGTAAATTATATTAATACATGTGACAACAAAATTGGTTATTTTATTGATATAATATCATAATAAATAATTATAATAATTTTTAGATTATAAAACGTTTACAATAATTTGTATACAATAAGACCTCGTTTAGTGCTCATGATGTGTTACTAGAAGACAAGCACTAAACGAAACAGCGTTAAACGAAATCACATGTAAATTTATATCGTTTTTAGGCTTTTCGGTCATTATATTTTAGTTGATTTTCACGTATACTATAACAAATATAATGGATCTACAATATACACAAGAAAGTTGTATATTTGGGTGATGTAGCGAGTATTTAATTATTTCTGTAGTTTCATGTATTTGTTTGTAATTCGCGTTCAAAGTTGAAGTAATGAAAAATTATCAATTTACTGATTTTCTTAGAAACTATAATAGGTAGAATAGATATAAAACATACATATGAGTATTCAATCTATCCACAAGGATAAGACGTATCCTTTTTTTAAAACTGGGGGCTTTTACAAGCTTAAAAATTAAGGTGCGTCTTATACATTGGACCGTCTTATACTTGGAGAAATACGGTAAATTATATAATATCATAATAACTAATTATAATCATAACAAATATTATAGTAATTAAACTTAGATTATAAAACGTTTACAATAACCTCGTTTAGTGCTTATGATGTGTTACTACAAGAGAAAGACTAAACGAAACAGCATTAAATGAAATCACATGTAAATTTATATGGTTTCTAGGCTTTTATGTCATTATATTTTAGTTGATTTTCTCCTATACTATAACAGACAGAATGGATCTACAATATACACAAGAAAGTTGAATATTTGGGTAATGTAGCAAGTATTTAATTATATCTGTAGTTTCATGTAATTGGTTATAATTCGCGTTCAAAGTGAAGTAATGAGAAATTAACATTTTTTACTGATTTTCTTATGAGTATTCAATTATAGTTGAGCTTTTATCCATATGGCTGTAATCAACGTTAATCGAGGAAGCGCTAAACGAAGTCTTACTGTACACTTATTGGTTTAAAATCAGGAGTGGTGTTGATGTAACTTAAGAAATAACGTTCAGCAATAAAGTTGTGAAATCAAAGATCTTTTCGATGAAATAAACACGCACACTCAAAACCATTCAGACGCACACACACACATAAATAGAAACTGCGATTTGTGGTGGAGGACTTTGGTGTATTTCTCTTTTTTTCCCTCCCCCGTCTGTATGTCAATTAGAGCAGAGAAATCCGGCGGAAATAATTCAATCTCCCCCCCAGTTCAGTCATCTAGTTTGCTGCAACATTTTTTTTCACCAACCCACACGGAATTAGACTCGAACCCTAAAGTGCGGCGGTGGTGTCGGAGGGTTGGCGGTGGTTCTCAGAGGGAAGAAGAAAAAAAAAATAAAACATAATACAGAAAAGGAGTGGAGCTCACACACACACAGCGAGAGAAAAAAAATGCGCCGCTTCCCCCTTCTTCGGTTTGCGGTTGAAAGTGATTGGTTTTTGTGTAGTGCGCATACCTATCAATCCAATTTCCTTTGACGCCACCCCATCGTCATCCCCCCACGAAACGAAACTTCAAACCGCAAAAAGCCAAGTGAGAAATTGTTGAAACTAATTAACCTTCTGCTCCGATTAATCCGCGAAGCAGCATTTTTATTTACTTTTTTTTTCGATTATTGTTTGTTTGAACCGAAGTTGTTAATTAAATTTTAAAGTGAATTGTTTAATTACGTGCGTACAGATGGCGCGGAGAGAATCTTAAATCTTTTAGTGTTACGATCAAAGCTAATTTTACCCCCTGCGCGTGTATATGTTACATGACGTTTCGTATATAACTATATAAAACTTAAGTTTCGTTCGTGCTCGTCCTGTTTGACTCGAATTCCCTTTTGCTGCATTAAACTTGCAAGGCAATGACATATTATGCAGTTGAAATTATTTCCTCAGTACATAAACTGAAATTAAAATATTATTACTCCTCTAGACGGTAGCGAGGAGGAAGATGAGAAAGAAGTAAATAAAATTAAAAGCAAATATGGTGGAAAAGACGAGACGTAAAAGTCGTGTGCTTTTACTCTGCAATTTCTGAATGCAAATATCCGAACGGCAAATAAACTTCTTAATTATAGTCGACATTATAACTAATATTAGTCCGAGCAGTCATATATTTTTTTATTTATTTTTATGTTTACAGCATGTTTATCTTTACATCTTTAATAAGTTTTCCGAGTAAAATTGTAATTAAATATTAAAATTATTGATCATTCCTCTGTAACATGAAATTATATATTTCTGTATTTCTTAGAAATTGAATAACACCCACATATATAATAATTCATATACAGTGAAACCTCTCTTAACGAGTATAATCCATTCCAATTTTTACTCATATAGTGAAATACTCGTATAGAGAAACACGTTTTCCCATATAAACCAATGTAAATTTCGTTCCATGTCGGAGAAAAAAAAAACTTGTTCTCGATTATTCATGATTTTGTTTTTCATATCTATGGTTATTTTTATTCTTTAGATTTTTATTCGGAGATATACCAGTGTTATTCAATTTTGCACAATCCGGGACTTCCCTTCTCATCGTCATTCGTTATGCGAAACGTTGCTCGTTAAGCGAGTCAT